TATGATGCATACTGATTACCAGGGGGCAGATGCTCATTGCTCTCTCACAGAGGGAGCACCACTCAGCCAGAAGCCCTGAGCCAGGCTAATGGCTGGGGAGTGCAGTGGCTGTGGTAGAGCCTTTTCAGCCTTTGTAGTAGTTGGATATCTCCCAAGGGCTCTGGGACTGTAAGAGGGTGCAGGTGAGGCTGAGGGACCCCTCCAAGTGCACAAATTTCATGCACCAGGCCTCTAGTTGCAAATTATTGTACCTGTTGATCACCACAAAATAGTACCTGCTCATGATGAGTGAGGGCTGAGATCCAGGAAGTGCTTTGCCAAACTTTATTGCAGGACTTCTAAGCAGCCTGTGAACTGTGGATATTTTAAATGGTGGTTTGAATACCAGATATATCTTAAATTCTATTTAACTAGACATCTTTTCCCTTATCACCTCAGAAGAAACAGAATTAGCAGCTTGCCTCATAGGTCATAGAAGCGACAGTTCTTTGCCAATTCTTTTTCTAACTAATGAGATTCTTAGGGATGGTGTCTCTGAGGAGAAAGTATATCCTATCCACTGTACTGGATATAGCTGTCAATAATTTTTTTAAGCATGTCTATCAGATACGGTAGCAAAACGGTATGCAATAGTGTTCATAGCTGAGGATAGAACTTCAAACTTCATTCAATCACCTCATTTTTGACAGTTTTAGATTCTTCCCTTCTTTATTGACATCTCTGAAAGAAGACTGTGAGTTTTTTAGAGTGTTTTCACGTGCAGTAGTATCTGATGAATTGCTGCTTCTTCTCTCTTAAAACATTCTATAAAACAGTTTGTGACATCTACCCTCTTTTTCATTCTTTTCTTTTTTTAAATAGAATCAACCCCCCCCCAAAAAATAATAAAAGTCCTGAGATCAGATCATCATAATCTTTTTGATAGACAGTGGTGGTAAAACATCAGTCTCTAGAAATGATTGTGAATAAAGTGTAAAGATGTAATTTTTTATGTAAAGATTAATGTATTCTCCATAGATCAAAAGATTTTAACACCCTCCCCCAAAGGACATGTAATAGTAAACACTGCAGTTTACTAATCTTGGACTGAGTTCATGAGCTAATCAATCATTGAGAAACTATTCATTTACATAAGCTTAATTACCAATATCTATATGGGGTGAATCAAAAATTTATTTTCTATGTGTTCCCTCTTATTTATTCCTTGTCCCTCTCCTATGCTCCTTTCCATCAGATAAAGGATAGAAGCTGACTCACAACAGTTTAATTTCTTAACTTCCAGAATCTGTGTCTTTCAGCAGATCAACCAAAGAGAGGCACTGATGAGAGTTTGTAAGGTATGAGGAAAGGAGAAGCCTCAATGATTCAGCTGGCAAATTTGGTAGCACCGTGTCTTTTTATGTGTCTTTTTATGACAATATCTTCTACCTCACAAGCCAGTCATGCTTCCAGCTACCTCCAAGCAAACACCAACTGGGACATTCCAGTGACCCACATTTTCACCTGTCCTTCAGTCTCCAGATGAGGACAGCTTCCTACTATTGCTCATCTCTGGACCAACTGATCACCCTCTGTTGCCTTCTCTGCTCTTCTATCACCTAAGTAACCAATTCCTCTCACGACAGTCCTTTTGAAAACACTTAGAAGGTATTTTTTTTAACTGAGTACCAACTCACTTAGTTCTATTGTATGCATTTTTAAGAGAATTTGTGGCTACGCATTGTAAAAACCTGGGGAAGTCTTTTCATTGCTTAGAATAGAATGAGAAAGACAAACATTGGGAAGCAGGCAAGGGCATCAGCCCTATCTTCAAGGTTTTTCCTGTTTCTTCCGAATGTACATTCCCTAAAGATACCCAAAGAAAGAAGCATTATTTAAGAGAGTGATTCAATGAGCTGCATTGGGACTACTTTTTCTTCCACCAGGAAAAACTACATACAATAACCAGTTTAAACTGGAGCCCATCAAAAGCAAATAAAAGGCACATACTTCTGATTAAAAAGGAAGAAAACCAGATCTCAGTGCTTACAGTATCACCCAATTTCAGATACATATTCCTAGCTGAGCTAGATGATCTTAATGGGCAATTTTTTCTTGTATATTCTTAACACAAAATACTAAAACTACATACATGCAAACAGAGACAGGAACTCTAGAGACATACGCACCAGATGTAACTAAGAAAAGACACAGTAGTAAAATGTAGGGTCAGGGCACAGCCTTCTTCTCATGGGTTCTTGTCCAACGAAGATGAAGAATAAATGTGCAGACTAACAGATTTCTTTAATAAAAATGTAGAAGTTTATTGGAAGCATATACAAACTCCACCTGGGCAGTGTTGACCCCAATGGGGACCCCTAGGTAGGGGACCCCAAATGGGAAAGGCCTGGTCTCTCTCTAATGGGAAAAATTTTAAAAATATTACCTCATGTCCCTTTGTCTGGGTTTATATATGCTGCAGTTATTTGTATGAACCTGACCCTTTCTAATTGGATCTTTCATTAATTTAGGACCCCCATGCTCTCCTCATTGATTATTTTGTTACATAGTATCAGTTTCAAAAGCCAAAGTCCATGTGGTTCTCCCCTTATAACAATCCTCTATTCTCTGTGAAAATGTTGCCTCCTTTTCATTATCCTGTAACTTTTCTTTATCCTATGAATATATGTCTCCCTCCTCCCCCTTATCCTATGGCCTTTTCCTATCCTTTGTACAAGTAAGATAAGCATTTTTGGTGTCTCCAAGCTACTTAGGTCAGGGCTGCTTTTGATCTACATTATAATTTCTTTAATTGCTTGGGCCAGAGTTACCCCTGTCCTTCACATATGCATTCCTTCCCCATAGACCCTCTTTATTCCCTAAACCACCCTATTTTATCCTTAAAATTCCTTTCAGTTGTATATTCTTAACACAAAATACCAAATCTGCATACATGCAAACAGAGACAGGAACTCTAAAGATATACACATGAGATATAACTAAGAAAAGCCACAGTAAAAAGAGACCATCTAGTCATCAGTCAAATCAATTCTACAAATAGTGACTCAGTCCCTAGAGTGGGCAAAGGAATAGGCCAATTAGTATTTTTGAAGGTTGACAACTAAGGGCCTTTGGATAGTAAATAGGACTAAACTTGCTCTTTAAAGCTGTAAAAATAAAAAACATTATCATTCAAAGGAAGACACTGATTACATAACTGTCTTATTCCCATATAATTCTGTCCAACAAATCTCTGTCTCTCATTTAGCTCTTAGTCCATAATTGCTGAATTAATATATTATGTGCTTTCCCACATCAACCTGATATCCAACTACCAGAACCTGCTTTTCTTTGACTGTGGCTCTTTTTCTTGACATTGGAACCTGCTTTTCCCAGCAATATGCCAGATCAGAACAGCCAGAGAATACATGGACCCCAGGAACAGCTTTCAACCAATGAACCTCTTTGTCCTGTGGCATATACCTGAGGAATGTAGCAACAGTCCCAGAGGGATTAGAACTAGTCACCTGTGGTGGTGCTCTGTTGTTAATGCATCTTTACTGTCCATCTTCCCTACCCTGTATCACCGCCTCCTCCCTTCTCAGTGTTCCCTTCACCCACAATTTGCACTCAAAATCTTTTCTCAGGGGCTGCATCTAAAGAAACCCAAACTGAAACAAAACAAAACCATTTCTCATCTCTCTGGGGGGTAATCAGCCAGTCTCAACAAAGTGAGTCAGCCTTGTGTATATTTTCCAGGAAGGGACCATGTGAATAAAGTTGCAGTGATTGATGGAGAAAATAAGAGTTATGGCAACACCCCACCTTTCTGTGCTCTGCTTCCTCCCCTGTTCAGCACACCTGGCTTGTTTAATCAGAGCATCTTAAGGCACAATGACATAGAACACCCCATGCAGGAAATTAAGATGAAAAAGCACCCAGACACTAAGACCATGCATATCCCACCATTGTGGTTATAACCTGCCATGCTCACTTACTGATCAGCTTTGTTTCTTCATTTATTAGTTTGCCATGTGCGATGCCAGTGAATTATAAAAGCATAATATCCTTTTCAGGCCATTATTTTTGGCTTTCTGTTTATAGAAAATTAAAAGTTAGGTGCAAACCAGTGCCAACTTTGCTGACTTTAGAATTTCAAGCAGTGAACTACGAAAGGATTGTGATAAAGTCCCTTTATTCTGTCTGACTCGTGGCATCATGTTGTTGTTTGGGGTAGGGGTGGGATAAATATGTTATCTTTCCAAACAGAGTTTTGCAGCTGATTTTTATTGACTTTACACAATGTGCACTGGCTTCCCCAAAATAGGGGTGTCTATGTGTCAAGACTGTACTTCTGTTGTTGGCCTCTTAAGTTTTTCCATTACTTACCATCTTTTCCACATTATGTGCTATTAAATAGAACCATAAAGAGCAGTGATCTGCTGTGGAGAGTTATTTTACTTTTGTGTTCAGATTGAAAATTAGTTTTAGACAAATGAAAAGAAAAAAAATGTTAGCTTATTGAGAGATACAATTAATAATCTATTTCCATTGCTTTTGACTAAACATAAACAAGCTTTGAATTAAGGAGGCATTATTTGGTTGAGGGGAAAAAAATGAAAGTTGCTAAATTGGCATTCCCATTGCTTTTGTTGTCTACAGTCCTCATTGGTCAAAGAGAGATACCATTTTGTTTACAAATAAATGCAATGTACTTTTCAGACAAGTGCCATCACACCGTGAACTATCAAAGTCAAAAAGAACAGGGTCATGAGATAAAAGTCAAGACAAGCAGGGAACTTGAAAGGCATGTGGCCACTCTGCTAATTCCCTCTGTTTTCATATGCTGGGGAATGTAAAGAATGCAGAGGCAGAGAGCCTGGGATAAAACAAGGAAAACAGGCAGATTACAATAACAAAGTGAAGAGTCAGGGAGTGCACTGTCACAGAGAACCTCGCACCACTTAATTTCAATTTAAGGGGTTGCTGCAATGCATGGCCTATGGAAATTTAATGATACGTTATGGTTCATCTGAACTTGTCAGCTGGCCCCATGCTGCGATAATCAACTTTTCAATATCAGACTCATTTACTCCTCGAAGAATCCTGAAATAGCCGTTCTCTCCCCAGGACTTTCCCCAGGAATTGGCAGCAATCTGCACAAAAACAATAACAACAACAAAAAAATGAAAAAGCTGAGTATCACACCGGTATTTTTAAGTCCTGCCTGTAAAAACAAAGGGAACTCATATATATAGCTTTACATACCTTTAGACTTATTATACATTGTAATTATTAAAAACCTAAATATTTTGTAAATAATAATAAAATGGTTATACCATTCATCAGTTAAATGAATATTCATGAACATTTATGTTGGCAACAGCCAGAATTGGTGGCCTCAGAGGACATACAAGCTACAGTATCTACTATGTGCTAGGCATGTGAGCAAAGATAAATTAGGCATTATGCTGTGTTTAAGGAACTTATATTCTAATGAAATGCAATCAACAGAAAGCAAGCGCCAAGGTAGAAACATGCAGATTGCTCTAGAAATCAGCAGAGGGGCATCTCACCTATCTGGATGGTTCAGGTTCAGGGAAGTTTTCATTCGGAACATGCCACACGAGATGCATGTTAGAGCTTGAGCATAAATTAACCAGATAAAAAGAGAAGGAGGGAGATTCAGGTGAAAGGAAAAAGAAAGAGCCCAAGCACCAAAGCAGGAAGCAGCATGAAACTGAAATTAAGCAATGGAATTGTTATAAAATTAGATCATAAAACACAAGCAGGTGGTAGGTTATGAGGCTGGCATGTGAGGTAAAGAATTCCATACTGAGAAAATAATAGTGAAGATAATGTCAAGGTTTTTTTTTACTTGCTTCCAGCATGAGAGCAAGCTGGATTAAAAATGTCCTTGCAATATTTTGTAGGAAATGAGATGGATGGACTTAAGAAGGTAGACACAAGAGGAAGGGAAACTAGCTAGTAAACTTGTCATAATTAAGTTGGAAGGCTTAGCAGGAGCAGGGGAAATAGGAAGAGAAAGAGAAATGTTCAGAAAGTGAAACCATTAGGAATTAGACATTTTCTTTCATGTTTTTATTTTTATTTTTAAAATACGAGGAGGCTTAGCAAGGGAGTTGGGACAGGTCCAGAAGGACTCTTGGGTGTAGAGCTTGAGAGAGTAAGTGCATAGGAAAGCAACCCACATCAATCAGTGTGTATAAAGAACAACACAAAGGCCAAAGGGCACACAGAAGGCAGTCAGCTGACCACAACTAAATACAAGAGAAAAGCTCAGTCAGATAATAGCTGCAATTGTTCATGGGATGGTGAATGAAAGATTTCACAGGGCCTCCCCACTTGCCTCACACTCAACCTACCCTGAGCCTAAGATGGAAAATGCTCTAGGATGTGATCTACAGTGAGCTTCTCAAGGCATATATTGTTGCAGTGAGCTTACTGTGTTCCACCATGTAAGAGAGGGCAGATTTACTCAGCATCAAAATTGTCGGCTTTAATGAAAAAACTGCTTTTCATCATTTCAAGATTGGACTCTTTTGCCTGGACTCTTTTGTATGAATTTTAGGATTATTTTATAAATTTCTGTGGAAAATATCTAAAAGTATCCACAGAGCCTAGGCATCTTTTTATACTACTGTAATAGGACTTTTTAGTATCTCTTTTTTAGTTAGTTTGTTCTTAATGTGTAGACATGCAATTGATATTTGTGTTGATTTTGTATCCTGCAACCTTACTGAACTTATTTATTAGTTCTAATATATTTCAATGAAGTCTTTAGGGCTTTCTATATAAATAAGATCATATTATTTGCAAACAGAGACAGTTTCACTTCTTCCTTTCAAGTTTTCCTTGCCTGATTGCTCTGTTAGAATTTCCAACACTATATTGACAAGAAATAAGAGTAGACATCCTTGTTTTGTTCCTGATCTTAGCATGAAAACTTGCAACCTTTCATCATTGAATCCAATGTTTACTTTGGGGTTTGTCATTTATGGCATTCATTAAGGTATTTTTTTTCTATACCCAATTTTCTGAGTATTTTTTTAATCATAAAGGATATTTGTTGAATTTTGAGGAATGCTTTGTTGTACCAAATGAAATAATCATAAGATTTTTATCTTTTATTTTACTAGTATGGTGTATTACATTCATTGATTTGAATTTGAACTATCTTTGTATTTCATAGATAAATCTAACTTGATCATGACGTATGATTCTTTCAATGTACTGTTGAAGTCAATTTGCTAGTGTTTTGCTGATAATTTTTACATCTATGTTCATCAGGGATGATGGTCTATAGTTTCCTTTTTTTGAACTATTATCTGGCCTTGTATCAGGTTAATATTGGCCTCATAAAATAAATTTTGTAGTGTTTATTGCTCTTCAATCTTGGGGGGAAGAATTTGAGCAGAGTGGGAATTAATTATTCATTTAATATTTGTGGTAGAATTTACCAGTGAAACCATTTCGACTTGGGCTTTTCTTTATTAGGAGGCTTTTGAATGTTGACTCAACCTTCTAATTCACTATTCTGTTAAGATTTTCTATTTCTTCATGATTTAGTCTTGATATATTTTATGTTTTTAGGAATTTCATCTAGGTTATCCAATTTGTAGGGGATATGTTGGTCAAAAGGTACAAACTTCTAGTTATAAGATGAATAAATTCTGAGGATTTAATATACAGAATGATTATAGTTAAAAGTAATGAATTGAAAACTTGAAAGATGATAAGAGAATTTATCTTAAATCGTCTCACCATACACAGAAAAAAGGATAACTATATGAGGTAATGGATGTGTTGACAAACCTTATTTTGGTAAGCATTTTTCAATACTTAATGTGTATAAAATCCTCACTTTATGCACATTAAATTTACTTCAAATTTAGTCTCCTAACATACAAATTATACATATTATGTAAAGATGGGTGATGTTTATTTTCACTTCTCCCAGAAATACTTTATCTTCACATACCCTGAGAATTAGATCTATAGCCATTTGTCTGGTTAAGTGATCTGATCCCAAAAGATAATAACATTTCTCTTATCTCCCCAAGAGGGCCAACATGTTAGAAGCCAGACATGGTCCTAAATTAAGAGCCAGGGTGCCAAGAGCACTGGAACATTATCTCCCTTGGTGTTTACCTGTCATAAAGGATGAAAACCATCTTTTGAAGACATTATCTGTTATTATCTGGCCCTTGAAAAGACATATTTATATTCCTAAGGGCAAGGGTATGAACAAGGGACTTTTTTTCAGCTCCTCTTAATGGAATAAAAGGATGTGTGTGTGTGTGTATGTGTGTGTGTGTGTGTGTTTTCTCTCCTTCTAGGAAAGGAGGAGGTTGCCTGTCTCGCTCCTCTATATAAATGGAGAAAGTTCACTGCTTTCTGTCATTCATTTATGGAGAGTAAACTGCTATCTCCATAGGAAAATTCCATTGGCTTAGGAAACTGCTATCTCCATAGGAAAATTCTTAGGCTCTATCACAGCACCTGCAAGACTCAATGTTGTGACATCTGGCTGTTGATTTTGTTGTACTAATAGGAACTCTTTTCTTCTGACCCAAGAGCCTTAATACCAGTGAGACAACATCTCAAATATATTTACAGTTTAGTTGAGAAAAAGTCAAAGTGTTTATAATAAAACAAAATATGATAAATTTTCAGTGTGACTCTTGTATTCCTACAACTTATGTTAAATTATTTATCCCAAAGAATCATATTAAAAGGAAATTTTGCCCCATCCCCATGAAATAAACTTTTCTTTAAAAATGCTTGATAAGTTATAAGGTCAGAATTAATAGTAACAAAAAAATTAGATTAAAAGGATAGTGTGCATGTTTTAAATATATTGAGTGTGAGTGTATATGCTTTGTGTGCATGCGTGTGCGTGTGCGTGTGCGTGTGTGTGTGTGTGTGTGTGTGTGTGTGTGTGTGTACTGCCATGGTGCTCTAGGATGGAAATGATGAGGTTGAAGATAAGAGGATCACAGTTTTCCTTTGCACTTAAAATTCATATTCATAATTACTCAACACGTATTTACTCAACAAATAGCTATATGCTAAGAACTGTTATGAGATAAGTTAACTAAAAAACTTGTTTTTGTCTTTAAACACTATATTATTATGTGATTGAATAACTATTCAAATTCACTTAAAAATCTCATTCAGAAACTTAGTTGAAGGTATTCAAATAACATATCATCTTTCACATATTAATTTTAATTCTTTAACATTAATATTATTGGCTACTTCAAACTTTATTTTAATGAGAAAAATAATATCTAAGAAAGATGAATTTATGTACAAAGATGCATCATTCTACTTTAAACTCCCATATATCAAGACAGGTACAGATACATACTTGGGTGGCTGATTTTTGTGAGTAATTTATGGAGAAACCTAAATAACATGTCACTCTGGTAAGTACAAGATCTAATATGTTTTATAAGTTATAATAAACCCTTTACTATATACATTTAAATTCAAATAAATATTATCACCTTTTATACTATTTCCAGAAAACAAAAAGTGTATAAGGACTTGAGACAATTCATCATAGTTTATTGGAATTAACTGAATATTTTAGGTAATATATTTAAAAATGTTTCTTATACGTAACTTTCTATTATTTTCAGACTAAATATTTTCTCTTTTTACATAAAGAAGCCTGTGTATGTTATAATTGGCAAAAACAAAATCAAAACACTTTACTCCTATAAATAAATAATTGATGCAAATGTTACAAAAGCATAATCCATAGCAAAAATTCTGTAAGAAGACAAAGTTGATTGACATATATGAGAGAAGTCTAACCATTACTTTAAGTTTAATATAGATGATAATAGGGGGAAAAATTTCTGATTCTCATTTTGGAAAAAAAAAAACATTTTTTACAATTTGAAATAATAAGCCATTTAGAAAAACTATTACTATAATATTAATTATTGCAATTAATTTCATTTTGGAGAAAATACCAGTATTACAAACAATAGGTTGGTGACTTAAAATGTGATGAAGTAATACAAAGCAGGGGATAGAGACACAGATGATTCTAAAATGTTCATTCACAGTAGAAATTCAAGTAGAGTTACATACCCAAAATTTTTCTTTTCGCCCCTGGGCTCCTCTCAGTGTGCCCCATCTACAAATAATAACAATAATGGTAATAACAATAATAAAATATTAGCATACAGAAATAGGCTTATATAGTTTTCATTTTTACTATATCATTATTTACTTGCTCAGAATATGTTCATCTATATCCAAATGTTTGAAATGAAACTCACTGACTAAAGGAGTTAAATTTCAGGACAACTGGTTATGGAGGTTTATTTTTTGTTTCTATTTTATTAATTTTTATTAAAGTACAGTTGGCATAAAATTAATTTCATATTTAAAACAGGGATTTGATAGATAAATGGATAAAGAATATGTGGTGCATATATTCAATAAATATTATTCATCTATAGAAAAAGATCATCATTTGTGACAACATGGATAAATCTAAACAGTATTATGTAGTAAAATAAGCCATACAGAGAAAGAAAAATGCTCTTAATTTCATAGAGGTTTTAATGTATTTAAGGATTGCTTCTTTCTTTATATCTAGCCCTCTGAAAATTTACATAACAGCATTAATTATAAATCTCCAAGACTAATGATAAAAACAATGTAAATATGGATCATTGTTATAAATAAAAGAATTTATGTAAAAGTATTCATATGTATATAGTATTTTATACATCTAATGTGGAGTTTCTCTATACATGTGTATATATGGAAATAAAATCCTGTATTCCTAGTACTGGCCTATATTCAGTGTAGCAGTTCGTAAAGAATTCAAACCTACAATATCTCATTTTTTTCTCTTGACGAAAAGCAGTGAGGCAAATGTTACTAACATGTTCTTTTTACTAATAAAATAGCAAGGCTTGTTCAAGATCTTAGAGTGAGAAATGTTAAACCAGGATCTCAAGTCCCATGCACTTTTTAATAAGCTGCTTTTCTTATAGATTCCCCAACTGCAATGTGTCGTAAACAGCATCAGTTTCATGTTGAGAAAGCATATTGACTACGACTTTCATGGGACTTAATTGATTGTGAGGACACAGTTCTGCCCACATATCACCCCATCAATACATCCCTAATAACTCAGATCTCAACATCAGAGCTCCTTCAAGCTAAATCATGGCATGCCATAACATAACAAACATTCCTGGAAGAGTCACACATTTGTTGTTCAAATATTCTCAACATGTCAGTTTGCAGAAAGTTATTTTTTGTAGGGTACAGAATAGAATAATGGGGCCACAGCACTTTAAAGATGACAGGCTTATGGTAGAGATCTTGAGGCATTTAGGAAAATATATTAATGCATTTGGTTCCTTTGACATGAGAATGAAAGAATAAAGGTGATTTGGGATAGGAAAACACTAAAGAACAATTTTTCTTTCTCTTGTTCCTGACAGAGGCTAAGAGTGCAATTACACTGATTGTCATCTCTCTTTTAGTTCTCCACTCCACAAAAGGGGACACTTGAAGGTTTCAAATATCTGGGCAGTGTAATGGGAAAGTTTAAACTAGTTCAATTTCCAAAATCATTTTTGTAGTTTTACAATTGCATTTATATCCTTTTCATTTTTCTAAAGTGCTGTCATCATTGATAAAAATTACCATTCCTATATGTGCCTCCAAATCTTTAAAGGACATTATGTACTTCAAGGAGTAGATCATATCTGAAACTTCAAGTCACTCATTCCTACTCTCTTATTTATCATGGCTATCAAACCAATTTCAGAAGTTTACCACTTAATCGTGCTTTTAGATGGTTTGGATGCTAGTTATCTAACATAAAATACATTCATATTTTCTCTAAACATCACTATTTATGCTCTTCTTTCTTCTACTTATATCTCTTCCTTATAAGACTAGCATTTATTTAGACAGACCAAAACCTTGATCTTACTCTTCTCAGATTGCTTCTTTAAACATGAGACTCTAAAGCAAGTTGTACAATAGGTTCACGAGCATAGAGATCTTAAGAGTGCCCTTTTTTGCTTCAAGTAACTGTACTTCATGCGAAGTTTATACTGTTTTTTTAAAAATATACTTCTACCTCATTAAGTTGTTTCAATTATTTGCTAAGTCCTCTAATGCTTATTTTCTCTTAAAATTTAGTGACATTCAGATAAATGCCAATATTTTTAAAACATCTGGGCAAGTCTTAGCTCATGTAACATATTTCCCAAGGATGCCTGAGAACTGGTGATTCCCTACATTGGTTTACTCTCACTTCAAGCACATGATCATTTAATCTCTTCCTTTTGTATTCATTTTATATGCATACTTTTAGACAGTTCTGGAAATACTTTTTTGCATAATATGAAAGGTCTTAATGGAGAAACCATAAATTCTGTAGAATAGAGCATGAAAACTCATTAAAAAAATAAGGTAAGATTTTGTGTTGCTAAGGTTATGAATATTTTTCAAAACTTTAGTGAATTTATTGGGATGACATTGGTTAATGAAGTTATATAGGTTTCAGGAATACAATTCTATAATATATAAACTGCATATTATATTTTGTGTTCATCATCCCAGTTCAACTCTCCTTCCATCACCATTTATCCCCCTTTAACCCTCTCTTTCCTCTCCTACCCATCTTTCCTTCTAATAATCACCAAACAGGTTATGAATATTTTTGTGCATGTTCCATGTTAAAAGGAATGTTGTTCTTTTCAGATCACCATGATAAACAATACTAGATTTCTTAAAACCCTATTTTAAACTATGTCTAAATAGTAAAATTATTGGAATCAAATAACTACTTTGCATAAGATTTTAAGTAATAATTTTTCCTCCCTTAGTATTGATTTTTTCAATGAGGTCAATATATCCAGTGATTATAATATTTGACATGGTAAAAAGAGAAAAGTGAGGTAAACCTTTCTTAAAGTAATATTCATACTCTCATTAATATCTCTTTTTATAGTAGAGCACAGAATCTCTTCTGGACTTCATTTATTTCTGATTTTATTCAGCAAACTACTGTTTAGTATAAAGAAGATATATCCTTTGTCTTCAAGAGACTAATAACCTAATGGAAGTGATGTTGGGAAATGAAAAATGAAGTATAAAATAAATTAAATTCTTTAATTGCTACTTTTATAAAAGCTTGTTTTAAAGATTTCTAAGGGCACAGATGAAGAAACTAACTGTCTGTGGAAGGCAAAGCAACTTCCTTCACAGAACCGAGTTGAAATTCTTCAGGCAGAAATGGGATATTGGAATGTTAGGCACAATAAATTAGTGTAAAGTCAAAAGAGAGCCATGAAAAGCTCATTCCTGCCTAATCTAAGAGCAGCCCTTGGTCCAGTGTGACTGGAGGACAGCGATGGAAGACAGGAAATCAAGTGGGGAAAGCAGATTTGGCTGTCAAGAGTGTACAAGGCCAGCAAGCTTGGCCTCTACAAAGCTGGTGAGAGACATTTGAATACAGGATGTGACATAATCCATAGTTTTTCCTTCAGAGAGACAACTCTGGTGTCCTGTGATGGATAGATTCCAGGGGCAGTAGGCTGAAGACATGAGATGAATGCTAGAGTTTTAGCAAGAAATAATGAAATCCTGAGTAGGAATGTTAAGACACACAAAGCAAATATTGATAATTCTTTTAACAGCTGTATCTCCAACACCTAGAATTGAGACTATTGCATAGTTAACCCTAATTAGATATTTGCTGAGCAAGGGCATTGAAGTACACTCACAGTGGGCATGAATAGGAGGACACAGATTTGAGAGCTACTTTGGAGGTAAAGGTAATGGAATGTCTGGGCCAATTTATATCTACAGAAAGGGAGAAGAAAGAGTCAAGGTTAACTCAGGATTTCAAGGTTGAATGAGTAGGCATATCAAAGGTGGCAATTCTTGAGGTGCACTTCACACTGCACAGAGATGTGTTCCTGATGATCAAGTTGATTTATCATCACCAAAGACTGTAATAATAGAGGGGCTTCATCTTTCTTGAGTTGTCTCTACTGATAGTGGTTCTGCATATTGACCTTTATTATTCATGGCTTCTCATGGTTACTGACAGTTAAAACACTGTGGGAACCAAGGAAAGCTGATAATTAAAAGAAAGTATGGAAGAGCCTACTGCACAGCGAGGAAGTCTTCTGTGATGAGAATAATTATTTCCTAATTCATGTGTCAAGGTCCCAGGGGCTTAGGAATCAAGTTCCTCACAGCAGTTCTCACATCCATCTAAGAATCTGGAGCTATAAGAACAATATCATTTTTAGTTTATACTGATGGTAGGTGTATTGCACTGTAACAGAATCAACTGGACTAAAATGCTGCAATGCTTCTGATGATTTACTGATTCTAAGGTCTCTGCATGTGCCCCTTAGACTTAACAATAGGAAGTCTAACTCCTGTTTTCTGAGCAGACCAATTCTCTGTTAGTGAATATAGATCCAGACAGATAAAAACAGTTTCTAAAAAAATGTATAAAGTACAGCCTACTGGAACAGGAAATTTTGAAGAAAAACAAAGTACAAATGCATAAGAAAGTCTGATACAGAACTCCAAACTTCCTTATAAAGGAAATGAAAGTCAGATAGGATACATGCATAAAGAAATCACCAGATAAGCCTCCAGTCAATAACAATGATATGACTACTCTGGGTATAGAATTTTGTGTTCAAAGGTGAGAGCAGATATATTTTCAGCTCTCTTTACATAAATTTTGAAAAATAACGGCAGTCACAGTGAGGCAAATATATGCAGGTTGTTGTTGCTTTATGAATGTTTTATCAGGGACACTTAGTAACTTCATTTAAAAAGTAGAAGCTTTTACTCACACCTAGTGAGTGTTGTGATATTGAATATAATTGAGAGCTATCAGAATGTGTGAATTAATAGATCAAAATTGAATGAAAATAGACTGCCTAGGAAAGCACCATAAAAAGAAAGCATTCTCCCCTCCCATTTCATTTTTTAAAATATTTTTTAAATTGATTTTTAGAGAGAGAAGAATGGATGGGAAGAGAAACACGTGCACAGATTGATACCCAACCAACTGATTCACGCTGGCCAGGGTTAAGATCAGATACTTTTATTGATACGTTCTGCATAGGAACT